CCTTCCACAGCAATTATTTTTAGTTAGCATATACAGTAGCTAAAATCTAACCATGGTTATATAATAGCAGCTGCACTCTGGCATGATAAGCTCTATGTTTTATATTCAATTAATGTATGATCTGATTAGTCGACTAATCGAATAAATAATCGGTGATTAATTAATTATAAAAATAATCGTTTGTGGCAGCCCTAATCACAGTAGACTGGAAATTGTCCGGAACTCTCAGCTTTTTTTTTTTTGAGGCTACACAACAAATATTACCATTTTTAAGCTAATACTTCTGCTGTCAGTTTATTGCCCTCCTCTTCCTCTCCTTTTGTGTTTCTTTCCCCTTCGAGCAGCTGCAGATTTTGTGAGTTACGAAGCACAGCAGCTCTAAGATGAGAAAGTTGTGAGAGGTCAGACGTGTTTGTGGTTGGACTCGGCTCATCTGGTCTAAGCCAAATTTTGATAAAATGTTTTCGCCATCAGCAGACAATATAGCAGTTATCATACTGACACACTCTGAACATTTGTTTTTTGTAATTAAGCATCATAAATGAAAGATTTCTGTTAATTATCAGTGATTTTGTGTCTTTTTCTAAAGTGCCGTTGATTAAAACTGGATTAAGTGATTTGGTAATCACTTTGAAAGCGTAGGAGCTGTTTTATTTATTATTAAGATCTCGTTAGTGTGATAAAAGGAGCTGTGAAACTCATGTTGGCCAGAAGGTGGCAGTGTTGAACTCTAAATACTCTCACCTCCTCTCTTGTCTGCTGAGTCACATCTCTCAGAACCTCAGATAAAAACACAAAAACAGGGAAATCACAATGACTATTTCAGGGTTAAAAAAACAAATCAGTCAGATAAATTTACACCAAGTTTTTTGTGACAACTGACAACTTAAATGGCATCAAAGCAGGCTGTTCAGGTTTGATTTTGGTTTGCAGAATGCAAACACAGACCCAATGACGAGCTAAAATCTGAGCAGAAGCGCTAACATTTTGCACAGAAAGTGTAGAAGTGGTGTCCTGATGTAGACTTTTTCTGTCCCGTCCATTACCTGATCATTTTTAAATGATCTTTGCTCATTAGACCACTTGATAGTTTATTGATTTGGACTTTTGTACGCTGAGTTTTCAGCAAACACCTCTCTGGACTGACCTTTTAGAAAACCCGCCAAGTCTTGCTTTCTTAGACGTATAAAACAGTTAATGTTGGTTCAAGAGCTTAGCACTATAATTTAACAAAAGTATATAAAGTTGTAGTAATTGTGATTGTTTTGTGATAGATTTGAGTACACTTGTGTTTTTCCACTGAAAAAAAATTTCAGATTTTTAGCTGCAACTGTTTCTAAAAGTTAAAAATGTCAAATAATTCTGAAAAAAAAGGTTGAGTTTTTTTGTTACTTTAGCATGAAGTAAAACTACATTACATCAGTCTTAAATGTTCAGGCCAATAAAAAGTACAGTCAAATGGCCAAACTAAAATAAATATGCTCTTAAGCTATATTTGAGTATTTTACTTGACTGAAAAGTGACTGTATGTTTGCAGACAGACAAGCTGCTGTCCTTTCTGTGTAAATATGCTCTTTCAACTGAAAACAGAGACAGTGGACTGTATGTACTTCAGTGTGTTTTCTTTTCCCATCCTGCCCTGCTGCCATAGTGAGAGCAGAAACAACACATCATTTCCCAAAGGCTTGAGTGGAGTTAATGCTGCCTTCAGTGACACTCCGGAAACCGCCACTTTTACAGAACGCGAATCGCAAACGTTCAATCTTACGGCTTAAAGTCGGTCTTGACAAAGCTCAATTTCACGCTAAAATTAAATAAAAGTTAATATTTAACGAAATAAATATAAAAAAGCTTTAGTTTTTATTGTATTAATGTCATTACCGAAAGCAGTGAAGGCAGCACGAGGGTGTGGGCGGGGTTTAGAAGCCCCCTCCGTGTGAGTCATGATTGTGCTGATCGCCTCACACCGCAGCGATGATCCAACAGAGCTGATTGAGCCTCACGGGGGAGCAGAGCCGGTACTGACGCTTCGGAGGGTTTTGAAAACGCCGAGGAAACGTCTCTGAAATGCCGCTGTGACCGACCGCACCGCTCGGCATCCATGGTCTATTTGTCCGGGACGCAAACCGAGGCGCGCAGCGTCAAACCGGGACAGCTGCTCGAAATGTTCGACTCGTCGTGGAAGGTGCGGAACATTTGGGACGGGGTGAAGCTGGAGGTGGCGGAGGACCCCAGCCCGGTGGTCCTGCACAGCTTCACACACCTGGACCCGGACCTGCCTCTGGTCGAGGTGAGGAGGATGAGGAGGGAGGGGAGGCCGGGGCCGGGATGAGAGGGCACAGAGGCCCGTTAGCTGATGCGGTTTGTTGTGATTTATGTTTCCCCTCAGGTGATGTGATCAGTGTCGTTTCCTTACATCCTCTTTCAATCTGCTTCTCATCAAAGTCCAGTCCAGAGAAGTTGTTTTATTAATGGAATAAAAGGGTCAAGTTAATTTAGGAAATGCCCTTTCCCAGTTGCTTTTTGTCTTGGTATGTAGTATAATGTTAAAGATGACTCTCAACTACTACCACACTACATTTTAGCTCAATATCTGTACTATATGTCAAGTTCTATTCGTTTTTTGTGTTGGACAAGGTTGCTTAGTTGGCTAATTTGGAATGGGCTTGTCTCTAAAATGAAATGATTTGTGGATATTCCTTTAACATCTAAAATGAGGTGTATAAAGTACTTGGGGAAAAAAAACTTAACAGAAAATGACCTTGGTAAAAAGTATTTTTTTTTCTGATGAGAAAAGTACTCAAACTGCTCACTGATTGTACTTTTGCACGCGCTCTAAGGAAGTGTTGAATTTACTTAACCCAAGTTATGTCAGCTGGTTCCACTAAACAGATTTGAGTAAATTTACTCAACTTAGGGTTACAAACAACTCCTTTCATGATGGGTTCTGGTTATATTTAAATTTGTAGCGTGTAACGGGGTGGTAAATTTTAAAGTAAAGATGTAAAATATTATTTTTATGTTTTGAATGTAACAAAATAAATGTCAAAGTTATGATTTTACTTAAAGTGCCTGTGACATGATTTTTAAAAAATAAATATAAATGCATTATTGGAAAGATAACGTCAATAACATATTGCTAAAATAAATGCCCGCTGCTGAGATGAACATTTATTGAGATATTTGCATTTGAAGTAACAGGAAGTGATGTCAAAGGAGAATGTCTGCATGGATTAGAGCAGTGGTTCCCAAACTTTTTGTCTTCTGACCCACAAAATATCCATGGCAAAAACTTGTGACCCCAAATATTACTGGTCTGAGTACACGAACTTCATTAATAACCCTAAAAACACAGGCTTTTTGACAATCTAAACAGCTTGTACACAAATATAAATACTTATTTTTTACTTATTCTGTGTTTTTGTAATAATTATAGGGAAATTTTTTTATCAGCAATTATTTTATTACCTTTTAAATTGATTTCTGGAGATTATCCAAGGTGCTTCATGACCCATAATTGGGTCCCAAGCCCAACTTTGGGAACCAAAGTGCAGTGGTTCCCAAACTTTTCAGCTTTTGACCCACAAAATAACAGTAGCAGAGACCTGTGCCCCCAACTRTTTTTGGATGATAAACRTTTGTATCAGGTCAACAAAACACGGGCACAGTAACAATATTTTTTATACTACATTTCTCCATTTTAAATATACTAACCTCACTCCTTTGTAACAACTAAGGCAAAAATGTAATTAATTCAGAAAATCTTTTCAGGACCCCATCTTGATGTTTCGACCCCAACTTTGGGAAACACTGGATTAGAGCATTGATAAAATGGCTATAAGGACACAGGCTCTAGAGAAGAATCTGATGTTTCTTTAGATTATTTTAAGTCACTATCAGAGAGAGATGAAGATGAGTCAGTTTAAATAATATAACTTCAATAAACGAAGACCAGAGGGTTCAATTTCTTAAATAGTTCCCTTTTGATGTCACTTCCTGTTTCACTTTGGCTGAGCCAAGTTTAAAAGAAAACATGCCATTTATGTGTTCAAATGGGTAAAAATCATGTTTTATGTACTTCATTACTACACCTCCAATCCGTGGTACATATATTTTGCTAACACTAGCAGTTTACTGTGATGGGTAAAGCTGTAAATATGCAAGTTTTCAATGTTTTAGATTCAAAATTTTGAATGTTGTTTACTTCGGCAGCCATCTTGACTCCTAAAGTGCTCCTGTGATTACTGCCCACTGGCTCATTACATATTTTCATAACACTACACACAAACAGACATAAGCAAAAACACGATGACCTTTGGTTGTAGGCGACAATAACAACACAGGCCCCTCCTCGTGTGCCGGCACGAGCCTACATTTACAGGATGATTTCTTTTCAGGGGGTTTTAATGCGGTCGGTTTCTTTGCTGCAGTAAAAACCACAACTGAAACCCCACCCCCACATCCCTCTCTGAGTCCAGTCCCAACAAATGTCACAGAGCACAGGTAGCGTTCAGTTGTGGGTCACATCACAAATGTTTCTTCTTGGGTTCAGTGGTACTGCTTGGGGGGGAACTCCACTCTGCAGCGTACAGTAAAATCAAGTGCAGACGATGCTGACGAACTGCAGAAAGATTCGTCAAAATCGTGTCTACAGAACACCTAAATCAGAGTAATTTATTGAGTTTGCTCAATTTAGTGCTGAAACCATAAAAAATAGATGAATGAATAATTGATTACATAATTAGTTCTTAATAAATCATCTGTTGAATGCCTAATGGAGAAACTGATCAGCTTTGGTCGTGATTTGGTTGTATATCGTGGTGTATTAGCTGCGCCGGGGAGAAAATCCATTTCAGCGGACATAAATCCATCCAGTAAACTCCCAGCATTAATTACAAGGTAGAGCTAGTGATGATTAGTTTCACTGTTGATTAGAATATTGTCTATTAATTTATTACTTACTGATTATTAGCATTTAAAGCTTCAGCTTGTGGGTTTTAATATTAATTAATTATTTGAGCTGCATTTGGGTTGTGAAAAATCTCATAATCTAGTAAAAATGATAGGGTGGGCTTTCTGGAAATGTGTGCAAACAACCCAAGTTTTGCAATCATTTAAGACCTGGAACATAAACTTTATAAAAGTGGGATTAGGGCTCGCCTTAATCTGTAGAATCTTGTCTTTATTATCTCATATTTTGTTTGTCCAAAAAGTCGGGCTTCGCCTCAGTGAAAGATGTCTCACAGTCTCCATTTTATGGATTACGTCCTCCGTCCAATCAGATAAAGAGGGAGGACAGGTAGTTATGAAATGCTTTGTAGCTGATACCACATAGAGACGTTCATCTTTCTGTCCGCGTGGATATTAAATTCTTTTCTTTGTTTCTCATCGGTCAGATCTGGACTCGTATCTCGTTATGAACTCCCTCCCGTTTGCCTCCTTTCTCTTCAGCAAACCTGTTGTGCTTCGCCTTGCAGCTCTAATCTCAAATCCTCCGCTCTAACGCAATTACCCAACGCTTAATCCCCCTCCTCTCCTGCAGTGGCCGAGGGGTTTCCTCGGTGAGCTCTGGCTTTCGTTTCCTCACCGTTCTTTGACGCAGAGGTTTTTGTTACAGTATGAGGGGCTGATGTCATTCTGACTGTTGGGTTCAGTCATGTGTTGATCCCTCTAGCATCAAGCTCTGTCTTTTACGTCACAAAGCTTTGAAATGGAGGTTTTGTCGAGGGATGAAGTTACTCCAGCGTGGAAGTTCATCTAGATTCTTTAGATTTTCTTATTGTCTGGTAATTTTTGAGGTGGTTTCAGTCGATAGTTGTACAAATCACTGTGGTATGGAGCTAATGCTGAGCTAATGCTAATGTGCAGCTAATACAAATCTAACACAGAGCTAACAGTAAGGCAAAGCTAACACTAATGCTAATGCAGACCTAAAACTGACCGGGAGCTAACACTAACACAGAGTTAACACTTATGTGGAGGTATTGCTAACACTAACACCAAGCTAACACTAACATGGAGTTAACATTAACCCAGAGCTAACACTAATATTAACATGGAGCTAACACTAACACCAAGCTAACACTAACATGGAGTTAACATTAACCCAGAGCTAACACTAATATTAACATGGAGCTAACACTAACACCAAGCTAACACTAACATGGAGTTAACATTAACCCACAGCTAAAACTAATGCTAACACTAGCATGACGCTAATGCTAACATTAACGCAGAGTTAACACTAATGTGGAGCTAATACAAATCTAACACAGAGCTAATAGTAAGGCAAAGCTAATGCTAATGTAGAGCTAACACTAAT